TGCACATAAAATGTTTCACAATTTTGGTGTAACATGCTGCGCGCGCACCCTGCGCACCCTGAATTTCCAACACTGCTGCCGATCACAAAAAAAATTGAATTGGTTTTTTACAATAAGAATTATTGTCTTTTTCTTCCATTACTTCATCTCAAGAATAAAAAAACAGACTAATATTAATGAAAACATTTACTCCTATCCTTTTCCATATTTCCTTATTTATATAATGTTGATATGCTTAATTTCAATAATAAATTAACTATACTTATCTTTATTGTAAAAACGCTAAATAAAAATATGATTATCTTGTCATTGACTTCCTCGTTTAGTCTACGGTAATGTATACTTGATAATTTTAAATTAAATTGGCATATTCTTCTTTAGGTTATTTTAGAGTCTAATAAGTCTAATGCCACCTACCTTGTGAAATCCTTTGTAAAGATTGTAAAATATTATGTTTTACTAAGGGATTCATAAATTTTATACAGGGGTTTGCAAATCACCTTAACTTTACAAGGTTTTTTTATTACTACATATGCGCTGATTTTGTTTGAAACCCAAAATTCAGTATGGTATGATCATAACGTTATGAATACCTTATGCTAGCAAAAATCCATTGGTTTTTGAGGTAGCTCCATTGGTTTGACGGGCTGTTGAACAGTAAAATAATTTTTTTGGCGATGCAAATAAATTTTTTTAGGGTTAATTATCATTCTACTGAGTTACACACATCTTGTTTAAAAATAAATAAATGACCGACCTATCAAGTTTACATATGCGTAGGGTTTGAAAAAGGGGTCCAAAAAACCAAATCGTTTGATATGACGGATTTTATGTTAATTTCGTCTCATGAAGACAAGTTTTTGACGTAGCTATGTATGAGGCGAGCTAAGAGTTAAAAGATGTTCGGAAATTATTTATCCTCGTCGATCGTATAAATAGGTTGACTTTTTAAAAATTTCTGCAATGATCATTATTATCGTTTAAAATAAATGGTGCATGCCAGTGTTGGAAATTCAGGGTGCGCAGGGTGCGCGCGCAGCATGTTACACCAAAATTGTGAAACATTTTATGTGCAA